ATTCGTACACCTTTAGGAAGACTACTTCTTACTCTGTAGACTACTTTGAAGTTTGTTTGGGGTGCAGCTTGGTGTCCAGATTCTATCAGATGTTCTAAGATGGAGCTGCGGGGACATGGTTTTTCTCCTTTGTAAAACCATACTGGTAAGTGTTCGGTGATACGCTTGGAAAGCGAACGCTGGGTAGACCATATCCCCCCCCCAAATGAGTTCAGATGTCTGTCGACTACAGTAGCGATAAGCTGACTTAGTGACACACCAATTGCCCTACGGTCAACCTTTAATATCCTGCACAATATGATATAGTCCTTTATTGAGTGGCCCAGAAAAGACTAATGGGGAGCAATGAAGAATAATAGGTAAGATGCAAGAGTTAAAAAACTGTAAAAGCAAAAGTTGAGTGATTTCTGCCTGCCTCAACTTCTTAATGTAAAAGATTTAGACGGAGTATTTCCGTAGAAATATATGGGATATGGGAAGACCAGGAAGGGTCAAAGGATAGGACTAACCAAGGGTATTTTACGCTTAACTTAGTTTCTACTTCAGTGGCCTCTATGCTTCAACCATCTTGTGAACGGAACAATTTTTGCACATCACGTTTACGCCTAAAGGGGATTAAACGTAAAACCAATTAACTTAGCCCATTGGCTGATGTCCAACAAAAAACTATTCAGTTTGAACAGTCACATCACCAGGTGAATTCTTCACAAAGTACGAATAAGCGTGACATTCAAACCTGCAAACTCATTTTCGGATAAATTATGTTGGTTAAAAAATCCCTCAGAGCTCGTCAAACAAAATAATTTAGAAAGCATAAGTATTGAGTGAAAAAATATCTACTTTTCAATTAGATCCTCACATCTGGCCCTACTCTAATAAATATACATACCATTTTCATTACAATACACAACAATTTGCCGATTAAATGGCGAAATGTTTGTTAGCAATAATCAGTCAATATCAACTTATCACGGGGCTTGATAATAACCAAGATAGATAATTGAAACAATTAAGGGGTGGAAATGATTACAACAATAACAACATGTGACTAAAGATGAAATGGTTAGAAAAATAAAAAATAATAATTTGGACAATTATAATTTTAAAGTTTCTGGGGCGAGGTAGTCCAGTTTATACATTCATGTAACGATGGCCAAAGTAAGGAAAGTGGGTGTAAAAATTCCTTCTGAACACACAACTTTGGCTTATTCAGGTGGATTTCTATTGCTTCAGCTGTATGTATGTGGAAGACGAACTCGTAAGGCAAAATTAAGATTAATAGCAATGCGACCAATAATTTAAAATGCTGTATTAATTTCAACTTTATGCTCGCTGTCTACAAGGTGTGCTAAAACAGGGCTGCGAATAGATCCTGTTTTTCCCTTGCCTAACCATATAGGATGATGTTGAGAAATACGATGGTGAACCTGCTTAATTGTACGCCCAATGTAGATGGCTTCGCAGCTGCAGTTCAACTGGTAGATACACAGAGAGGAGGCAAATTTAGGTAGTTTGTCCTTATTTCTCGAACGCAGAATAGGGAGACAACGTACCTCCGCTGCAGTGAAAGCTTTTTTAACTTCATTCTCCAGGCGCTGTGTTAGTATTTCGCTGATGTCGTCCCCGAGAAACTGCAGTTTCATGAACAATAGGTTTTTTTTGGAGTCGTTGCTATACTGACTGTCCTTGGTGTTAAGCTCATCTTTTTCTCAATGAACTCATCTGGATAACCATTTTTCGTTTATCTGATACCCCGCAATGAGTCAAATTAGTAGGGCGAAAGCAATCAGACTAGTGGAGCCCAAAAACCTAGTAAAAATATAGGTTAGTTGACCTTAAAAAGGTAAGAAATAGATGATATAGGTTAACCATAACACTATATGCAACCACAAAATAGGATGAGACAGGATGACAGTCTTCAAATCTAATACAACAAAGTGGTGGGAGGGATTGATAACAAATGCTTTATTTATCAAATCTTCTGAAAGCGCCGTGCAATAGGAATGATTCGACACCTGTCCCGGACATCTGGATCGTTCTGTCACTCCCACAATAAATTGGAGAGAAGAAAGAGAACTATGAATATCGAGTTTCAAAATTGTGTGGTTATAACTGATATGATAATTATGTTCGAAACATCATCCAGTAAATAATACTGTTACACTGTGTGATACATCTAATAAACAAATTAATATGAGGCAGACAGGTATGGTGTAGGATGACACCGCAAACAACTCACTATAAGACTTTACGCTGGATGTAAGTTGACTGAATATCGAAAACATGTCGTATTGTTACCAGTTATTTTTAAGCCAGAAATTTGAGTTCGTCATTTAGATTGAACGTTACTCTTACTGTTTTAGAAGTGTCTTGAACAGACACTTGAGGATCAAAATGTCATGAGTATGGAAGTTTCAGTGTCAGGGTGAAACAGCTGAACGACTGATTAACTTCACTTTTCTTCAACTAATATTTTGCACGTGCACTGCGACTTCCAGTTTAGGTAACCTATCATTCATTATTTAGCACAGATGCATTTGAATGAAAAAGATACCCCCACTTCATTAACAGAAATACAAACAGTTGAAATGAGTTCACCAGTATTATGGTAGGTGAGTAGCTGTGTGTCTGTTTTCGACATAGAACTTTGCACCGATGTGCATCAGTTCAAGTCGCCACACTGCATGTAGCACACAAAGTAAGAGAAGAAAGTACAAGAAAGGCATAATAGAGACAGTAAACAGAGGTGTGAGACAAAGGAATAGTAATAACGAAGAACAAAACAGTTTCGTTGGAAATCATAAGTCACAGGGAGTGGATGCATCTTCGCCACTGAGAACGATTTTGAGCCATATCACCAATTGTTTCCAACCATTAGTTTTTACCGTCCAGAGGACCCCAACCCTGAAGTCTACATCTTCCTAAGTGGCTTAGACTAACTGGTGCCATGTTTTGGTTTGACCGCCGCTAGCTCTTTTCCAGCCTGACCCTATGTCAGCAAATGTAAATGCTTGAAAGATACGTGTCCTGTGTTCATTCGAATTCAGATAAACGCAAGCTCCAATTAACCCGTTTATCATTCATACGGACACTATATAATTAGACAATGTTATCTGGATATCCTCTTCAATGGTGAATTATGGCCATACAGCTTGCTTTATATCGATGTTTACCAAGTGACACAATTACTTTTTACATATTTCAATTGAGTGTCTGAGATTTTTAATGACAGAAATGTTAGCAATGAACACTGCGATTGATGATTCATCAACTCTAAATTTTGGTAGTATTGATGGAACTCAATTACAAACTTAAGGCAATGACTATGTAAACTAAGGCTGTAGACAAAGGTTGACGAATAAAAGTCCGTATCAGTTTCTACAGATTCGAATCTGTTGGTCACTTAGATATATTTACCAGAGTTTCATCTGAGAAATATAATATATTTACAAAATACACTCCAAACCACCTGGATATATATCTAATTATTGAGACAATCAAGTAATGACCTCGACTTTAATAAATGACAAAATTATAAAGATCAAACTACTGGTAAGTGGGAGATTTAGAGGAGATATATAAAGACGGTAAGTAAATACTGAATGGTGGCTGGGTTTTACGCCTCACAGACTTGCTGTTCGCTTTTGTTTCTTAGATATTTGGAAGCTCATAGAGTTTTTGAAGTGTCTGATAGTAAATCTACTTAGGGGAACTCAGATGACAAAACCGTGAGGAATTCCAGACTTTAAGGGCAGCGTCCTGAGGTGAAGAACCTGTCCACGGATGAGGGCAAAAGTGGAATCAAACTTTTGAGCTTGGCGAATTTAAGTATTTTTCTGTACAGTAGGAAGCCAATAAGACTGATGTGATTCATTCATCTAAGGAAAACATCTAAATACCGAAAAGAGGCACGACTTCAACCTCAGAAGCCAACAACACAAACAACGAAAGATATATTCATATATAGTCTCGCAGTCATACACTATGCATATCAAGCACAGAGGAAACTCAAGAAGCCATCCATCCGGTCACTATCGATTGTTCAGTCACGAACACATACCTGTTCAAAGTACACAACAGGAATACAACCCAGTAGCGTAATGATGAGTTGGGGAGACAGGTGCTGTAACTGACCACTTGCTGTTTATGCAGACGAAACTAAAAATATCGTCATAGAAACTAAAACAGCATGCTATTTGATTTTAGTTACAAACCAGTCACCCTGTAATGGGTCGTCAACCACACATGATACTTAGGGGTTAATGATACACTACATAGTTGCTCAGGCTGAAGTAGGGGAAGCGAGATTCAACCACCTCCGGCCGATAACTGCTACCTTGTCGTGGTGGTCAGGCTTGAATACCGTAATGACCCAACATACTAAGCTGACTGGGACCTATCCTTGCAGGTCCTACCATGTCAGGAAGGTTGTTTGGATAGCGGTTAAACAAAAAGCAGTTACCATGGGGTACATGGGCTCCAGTATCCAATCGGATCAAATGGCGTATGAACCCATATGGGTCATCGGCAACCATGGGAATGCAGCTCCTGACGCTGCCTTGAGGATTAGACTACAAGTCAAAGGCTCCGGGGTGGTCCCTTAATAAAACCCCACCTGCTTCGGTCTGGGCGCCCGGGCAGTATCTCAGCCCTCACACAATGAATTGAATAAAGCAACAAACAATCAATGAAACTTATCGCGTGCTACTGCACATGTTGCAGTTTCCTTCTTTCTTCCCTTCCTGATGATAGTTAACGAATACTGTTTGAACTTGTTAAGCATGACTGTTTCCGTTCCAGATGAAGTTCTTAATCCGTTCTCTACTTATATATATTTTTTCTCTTCTTTTTTTCTTTTGATCTATGTTGTTTTATTATTATTGTGTGGTGCATCCTTCTTGGTGCCATATAGTACCAAGTTTTTATGCGTTTAAATAAGTAAATAAATATACCTCCGGCTATATTAGTTGGAGGTAGAGTACTGAAGCTAATGAACCAACACCACCTCTCCTACACAACAAGTACACACATGCCTAAACGAAGCCATATATACAGTTACTGCACAAACCACACGAAAATTTATATATCACTGATGATTATTTTCATTAATTTATTCATCCACTAAAATAAATCTATATACAAACAATGCACCACTTATGAACATAGAACAAATTAAATGGAACAAAAGTAGCACAAAGAAATAAAATAAGTGAGTAAGGGAACACATTAAATATACACAAATAAGTGTGCCTAATAAACTAGTTACATCTTTCCAAAATAAGTGGAGATAAAACAAATAAAGTGAAAGGATTATTGATTACCTACACATATTCGAGTATATATTTTAAGTCATAAAGACAATCATTTAGGTAATTAAAATAAGAAACAAATTAAAAAAAATAAAAAAGAAGAAAATAAATGAAATTATAACCATCATTTTTTCAGTGTAAATGAAAGTTTCGGCCGAATCCGTTTTTTGTTCAGAATAATTTCTTGTTCTCGTTTAATGCGCTGAAGCTCCTCTGCCTCTCGTCTTTGACGCTCTTCAAGTTCACGCAGCTCTGCTTCGCATCTTTTTCGCTCAGCCTCTTCCTAATATGAAAATAAACAGGAAACAGTTAGCCGTACGGCACACACAATGATATGATATCAAATATTACTTCGACCTCATCAATTACAACGCAGAGTTTTGCCTCAAGGTATGTATTCAATAAAAAGTCGGATAAGACCTAGGGGTTGTTTATATGTTGAAGGATAAGTCTGTTTCCTATACTGTCATGTGGTTAGATTGAAATTAAAAATTATTCAGATCGTGACCGTTGATTAAAGGACTGACTATTCATCATGCAGCACAATCATTTTATTCATCCAGTAAACGATGAAGTCCAATGAGCAATAAAACAAAAATAGGACAAAATGAGAGATTTTTGATATCTTCAGTTTGTACTTAGTCGCTGGCAAAGTTCCAGAAAACTGAATCAGGCGTGTAATTTTATCTGCCATTTCAAGTTTTATGGTGCAATTCCTAACTCACCTTAACTGGAATTTGCGACATTTATCACTGTGCAATGCCGACTAGACACCACTGCTGTTAAAAGATCCACTATTCTGCCAGGGAGTCATCGTTGTTTCCCTACTGATTTGTAGCGTAACGTTCCACAATTAACTGCATACCTATACTTATAACCTTCAGTTATGTGATTAGTGACCCGTACGTCTTCAAATGACTGGCTTAAAATGAACCCAGCGTTTTTCCACTATCTGGCTTAGATTCCGGGTATTCAGCTAACGGAACAATCGAAATTCACTGTGGTAAACTCGACAGAACTCGATCATCTGTTAATTAAAGCCGTAAAAATTTGTCGAGAAAAAAAATCTAAAAGCTACTCTTTCGGAAGAAGTTTGAAACTCACCAAACAGCTGGGGCTCCCGCTAACCTTGATTTACAACGGTCTAGGAAATAAACTCACTATATACATACATACGATAGTCTTGTTATTTCAACTTTTCGCAGGGACAATCCAAGGTATTATATGCCTCTCAAACTAGTAATCAAACCTAATATTTTACACCAACATTGCAGCATAGGAAAATTCATACGTTACATTTGTTGCTTACCTCTAAACGTCTTTGTTCCTCTAATTCCCGTTCCCTTTCTCGAGCAAGACGTTCACTCATCTCTTTTAATCGCCTTTCTTCTTCCTGTTTCGGGAAAGAATCAAAGTTAATAGACTTTAGAAATATGAATTAGAATGAAACACCAGTTAGTATTCAGGTTGGAACTTACTTTATTGTCCATAAAAAGTAAGTGTCAATTGTTGCGAGTCCCAACGCACCATTTTATGATATCATGTTACCCTTCTGTGCAGTTAAATTCTGAACTTATTAAAGGTTGTGAACGCATGTGGTACTGAGAGATTCTTGGTTACAATCTTCGAGATGTGAACAAACAGGTACACGAAAGCTGAAAATAGATTGAAATCTATATCAACAGATTAAGCCCACTTTTACACTTTGAATCAAATATCCTATCGCTTTAACAGTGCAACCTACTTACTCTGTGCAATTCTTTTCGTGTATCATACCATGAGCCACACTTTAGGTCTGAGGTTTTGTAGGTTGATTTTTATTGAGTGCACCTTGTGCCAAGACTAATCGACGGAAACACCATTATTTGGGTCAGTAGACTACATGTCTACATATATCACTATTTGCACTGACAATCTCTTGTATTGGGTTTACTTATGTCCAGTTAAACACGGGGTTTGAAATCAGTACAAAAATATCGCAACTACTCGACTTCCAAGGAGCTATGGCTCGTTGACTGGTGCAATAGAATTTCGACTGGCAATGGGTATGGTTATGGGCAATAAATTGTTCTCGAAACACCATCCAGTAGATAACGCAGTTTCAATGTGTAGTATATGGAATAAACACTAATATGAAATTATATACTATCAGTGCCCAATTTTCACACATTAACTGTCAAAATAGCGTCTTACATAGCAGTCCTTATCCGATGCGCTCAACTCATAGTCCACACTTGCTTGGCGACGGTGACGATCATGTGCAATGATATGTAAACACAAAAACTCACCTCACGTCGCTTCAAAGCCTCCGCCTCCTCTCGAGCTTTGCGCTCAGCCTCCTCGGCTCTTCTACGCAAGACTTCGGCCCGTTCAGCTTCTACTCGACGTTCAACTTCAGCATTGAACTGTACTCTGCGTAAAACGAGTAGTTTTGCTAGCTCAGAGTCTAAATAACGCTCCAGACGTCGAGCGACCTCTTCTTCAAGGAGTTTAGATTCCGCCCAACGCTGACGACTATAACATAGTAAAAAGTAAAAGCCATACGGTCAATACATGCGTAAAAAGTGAAATGAAATTTTCACTGTCGTGCAAAAGACTGGACAAAATATAGTGCGACACTCTTTCAGTTCGAACTGACTTTGGAAGTATTCATCTGTTGTGGTAATGTGGTTAGACTATACCAGCGAAAACTGATGTTCCACACCACACCACACAGACACCTATCATTTATCAACTCGAAAATGAATTTCATAGTGAAACCGGGTGGAAGCAGTCATACAGCTCGGAAAATTACATCATAATCCCGACTGCACTACTAGCAATACTCAAATATTTAACGGTACATACCCATCCCATGATGTGGTTCACTGGCATAAACGCCTGATTCCCAGCCAATATGTTCCGAGTTTGGGTTTCATCTCACCTAATCCAACATAGCCAACTAAGTAGTATTGTCAATCCCCACAATTGGTGTCTCATAACCTGGTACGTGGAAAGACACCTAGGTATAGAACAAAAGTGAGGACCTGCTTTTAATATCTAAAGATCATTGAAGTGATTAATGTAGCTTGTAGTCTTACCATACGCAACACGATCCAGCAAATACTAAATTCCAAATAGGGTTTCAACTCTAAACTTTTTATCTCCGTATTAATTCGGAATATAAATATCGTAGCTGCTACCCAAAATATGACAACTTTTTGCATGCAAAACTTGACTTCTCGACGTACTACTCAGCATCATGAGAAACATACTCAAATGGATGTGTACATTTTCATCAGTTATTCGTCTTAATAGGTGGAATAGATCAGTAATCCAAGTACTCGTATCATCCAGAGACCAAAACACGAACAACTATGATGACATAATTTACGTCGAAAATAGGTAAACTGGGTCAATACACTAACAAACCTACAAGAGTTAATAAAATGTAAGTTTACCACCAGGTGTCGGGTGGTCTTGATATGTGAGCACAAAAGTCCGTTGAGCAGTGATCTAATGCATGACTAACCGATCTGACGCTGCTCAGATGTATCAGTGTGAAGTTTGCATGCGATTACCGTTCGGAACAAATTACACACAGGTGCTTGAAGTCATGACCCGATTCGGATAATAGATGAAGGGAATTAATGAAGCATGGAACCTACATTACATGCATTTCAACAATGCATAAAATTGTCACAGTGAGTCGATTTTAGTTAAGGCAGTTCCTTAATGGTTGGTCTCGATTACTGAATAGAAAAATCATCACGGTACTGTTGCAATATATCGAAAGGCGGTGTTAGCCTCCTCTACATGCAGCTGATACATAGTCAGATGGGAGAATATGTCTAGTACAAAGGAGCTTAAGCCACAAGCTAGCCTATACATAAAGGACAGGCAAATCTAAGCAACAACCAACAATTCATATAGCTTTGGAATATTTGACGTTATCAAGCTTCACCTACTAAATGTTAAAACATAACCCATTCGCCTTGTGTCTCTTGAGAATAGTCTCTAAGCAGTCTATCCGGGGTTTACAATTACTTTAATTTATCAAACTAGGACCTGAATAATAGCAGTGGTATGGCTGCAACCTGCTTGTGATAGAAAGACTTGAGATTTGATGTCTCCTCCCTGAGGACAAAATGTTTCGTAGGTGAAACGACAATCACACAGGGCTATGTCGTCCTACAACATGTTACAAAAGCTATCAGTAATTTGAAACGAGGCAAAGCGGCAGGACCCGACGGAATTATTCCGGAGGTGTTTAAATATGGGGGTGACATACTAGTTTGTAGATTAACTGAGGTACTAGGCAAAGTCTGGGAATCAGAGACAGTACCATCAGACTGGGGTAAGTCACTCATTATACCGATATTCAAGAAGGGAAACAAGTCCTCGTGTGATAATCATAGGGGGATCAGCCTAACGAACATAGTCTCTAAAATCCTAGGCTCAGTAATCATGCATAGACTAAGCAGAACTCGGGAGGAACAGACAAGGGAAAATCAAGCAGGCTTTAGACCAGGTAGAGGGTGCATAGATCATATCTTCACTCTTCGACAGATTCTAGAACATAGACACACCTTTCGGCGTCCAACAATTGTCATATTTCTTGACTTGAAGGCGGCCTTCGACTCCGTGGACCGAAAAGTACTATGGCAATGTCTGACTGTGAAGGGAGTGCCAAGAAAGTACATCGCACTAATCAAGGCACTCTATTCAAACTCACGTAGTCGTGTAAGGGCTTATGGGGAATTGTCATCTGAATTAGTAACAACCAGTGGTGTCCGACAGGGATGTCCACTTTCCCCATTTCTGTTTAACTTCATCATAGATATGCTAATGGAAGTATCCTTAACTGAACGTAGTGACTTAGGAATCGACTTGTTACCAGGGAATAATCTAATGGACTTAGAATATGCAGATGACATAGTCCTGTTAGGGGAGGATGCTGACAAAATGCAGAGTCTTCTGAACACCTTGAGCAGCAATCTTCGTATGTTTGGCATGCGATTCGCCCCTGCAAAATGTAAGATGCTGCTACAGGACTGGACGACGTCAACCCCTAACTTAGTGATAGGGAGTGAAGTGATAGAACATGTTGACCACTTCACCTACTTGGGAAGTTGTATTAGCACCAACGGACTGATTGGCGATGAAATCTCAGCACGGATCCGAAAAGCTCGAGCTGCTTTCGCTGACTTACACCATCTCTGGCGTAGGCGTGACATCCGGTTATCAACCAAGGGACGTGTGTACTGCTCATCAGTTCGCTCCGTCCTTCTCTATGGCTCTGAAACATGGCCAATACGCGTTGAAGACATGAAAAGGTTGACTGCTTTCGATCATAGATGTCTGCGATCTCTGTCTCACGTTAGGTGGTTTCACAAGATAAGTAATGTTGACGTTAGGCGTAGAGTGTTAGGCAAAGAGGGAAAATCAATCGACGAGGTTATAAAGTTACATAGACTAAGATGGCTAGGTCACGTGGTGCGCATGCCTAACCACCGCCTCCCCCGACGGGCATTGTTAGCTGATATAGGTTCAGGTTGGAAAAGAGCCAGTGGTGGCCAAACAAAAACATGGCATCAATCCATGAAATCCTTGACAGTTAAACTGAGTCAGGTAGGGAGATGCAGACTCCCGGGTTGGGGCCCTCGGGACTCTAGGAATCAATGGCTGGAGACAATAGGTGACATGGCTCAAAATCGTTGTCAATGGCGCAGATGTATTCAATCTCTGTAATCTTTCATATTCCTTTCTACCATTACCCATTCTGTTTCACTCCTATATTTGTCAAACTCTATTAATTCTCTCCACTCATCTTCTTGTCTACCTCTGTGTGCTATTTGGAACGTGGCAACTCGAACTGCTGCACTTCGGTGCCAAGTTCTATGTTGAATCCAGACAGACAGACAACATGTCTCTGCATTAATCTACTTATTCAATTACTAGTAGGCTGGGACGAAAGTGATCTTGATTCGTTTGATAAGTAATTTCAAAGGCACATTTGCCTGGTGGTAGACCTATCACGGATTTTGTGAAGGGAAAACCCTAAAACAGTTCTGGCAGTGTGAAACAGACGCGAATTTAAGGTCTTCTCTGGTGTTGATTTCAGCATGCACTAAATTTCACGAATGCAAAATGAAACACGGAGAATAGGTGGATGAACAGTCAACAACTGAACAATCAGATCGTATTCAGTGCAGACTATAAATATTCCACGAGTAGATCTATTGTGAAAATAATCTAACCTAATAGAAATAAATGTCTCGAGTACTAGTGGAATTAACCCTCAATGACTTTAGCTAGTTAAAGATTGCCTTGTTACCAGAGCAATCTTTTTGACATAGAGTATATGGGTAATAACGCCCTCCTGGGTGAAGACGCTGGCTAAGTGTAGTCTTCTAGACACCATGAACAAACATCTTGGGATGTTTTGCATGAGATTTGCTCCTGCCAAATGTAAGATGATGCTGCAGGACCAGACTGCGCTGATTTCTGTGTTAAAGACAGAGAGTGAAGTGGTTGAACGTGTTGACCACTTCGCTTAATGAGAAGTTGCATCAGCCTTAATCAACCGATTGCTGACGAAATCTCAGAATAGATACGAAAGGCTCGTGTAGCATTCGCCAACTTATGTCATTCCAGGCATAGATGTGAAATCCGACTATCAATCAAAGGGTGTATGTGCCAAGCAGCAGTTCACTCAGTCCTCCCTCATGGCTTTGACAGTCGGCCTGAACTATGTTAGGAGGTGTACACTCCCTGGTTGAGGTCCCCAGGATGCTAACAACCGATGACTGGAGAATGTTGGTGATAGGGCTCAAAGTCGTTCTCGGTGGCGCAGATCCACCCACTCTCTGTGATCCCCTATACCCACTAAACTGTCGTTTTTCTTCATTTTCCCGCACTCCTCTCACACATTCCTGTCGGTTATTGTGAATTTCCAACCTGATGTTTTCCTTTTTCTTGTCTAGTTTCGTTTTAAATTGAGTGTGGCAACTCGAACTGCTGCACTTTTGCGCAAGGTTCTGCTTTGGAGCCCATGCAGCTTGGTTCATTCACTGTTTTAGTTAGTCAAGGATATTATTAGAGGAAACCAGACATGTAACAGCAAGTAGTGCCGGCCTTAACACAATAAACTGTGAATGACCTCTCACTGCATGAAAGGAGGCTCGTGACAACTTATGGAATGACGCTCCCTGTGTTGTGTTAGATGGATGCTCAGAAAACAGAACATGAGCGAACCAGCTTGTAAACTGGAATTTCTCGAAACAGATAGATCGCTAAACATTTCTGGGTACATTGTGAAGGAAATTACAACAACCTATGACATTCGAACTTACAGGATCCTATCTTCTTCCGCCCTTTGTTCGTCACGCTTACGGGAATCGTCGTTTCTGCCATTGCGTTTGCTTTCACTGACTAAAAGGGAACCGGGAGAACTGGCTCGACTTGAGGCACTGCTACTATTTCGGTGCCTGAAAAGATTCAACACAAGTACTTCAGTTTGGGTTGATGCAAACGACAAGTTAATAAATCATTCGTACTTATTCAATCATCCTGGGGTTGCACTTCGGCGACTCCTAAAATGAAAGATATGGCTAGCTGTGCATGAAATGGAATAACATTTGACAAAACGATTTAACTGCGAAATCCCAACCTTTTTCGAGGACGATCAGTTCGTGGTCTGGAGTGTGTAACGGGAGAACCCGATGCACCACCACGGTCTACCATCGCTAATTTTAGTAGCGCAAATTTTAAAGCGCGTCAGTCATACGCCATAGAGGACTTTATTCAATAGATTTGGACTATGCACACCTATGTAACACCTGTTATACATCAGTGGTATTAGGATAAATCAAAGGAAATCATATCTTCCTCACTCCTGCATCTTTTCATGGCCCCACTGTTTATTTGGTTTGTTCCTTCAATGATCATAAGAGTCTACAACTTTCATGCTGATGGAGAGCAAACACCTAGGATCCCTAAAGCACTGGGCTTCATAAAAGTGAGGCACAGGGAAGTGAAACCAGAGTTTTGTGAAGTAAAACATTTTTTATCAGGCTAGAGGGCGCCTGCGACATCCTGCTCAAAGCTTGGGCTACGAAATATCCATCCACCATAATATTGCATCGAATTCTTCATGTTCAGTTTTAGCTGATCAACTTATTAAAACTTGGACTCCAATCGCATCGTTTCTACTCGTGAATTCCTAAAATGCTTCAAACCTGGGGATTTGCAAATTTGCGCTAGATCGACTAAGAAGCATCATTCCGAGTGGCAGCGTGCTTTAAAATTACTTCAAAACATCAAATGACTATTCCTGAGATTATGAGCACAAACTGTCGCTCCCTGCCAGTCAAAATTAACTTTCTGCAGTCCCTTGTGTCCTCCAGTGCGTGTCTCAATGCAAGTATAAGGACTTCTTGGGAAGCCTGGCTTCTTGACCTATGTGATGATAATTTAGTCTGTCCAAATGGTTTCAAATTGTTCAGGCAAGATTGAGGCAGCTCTAAAAAGAAATGCGGTGTTGGCGTTCCAAACTCCATCAGTTCTTAGTGGTGTACCTCGAATAACGTATGTTTTCGATTTTCAAGTGACAAAATTGCCTGCCTCACTGTTAGATGCCAACCGAAACACCTGCCCAAATATAACTATATATATATTTCAAACACATATTGTAGCCTCTCAGAACTATCTTTACTTGTCGATGATTTTACTCCCTTTTACGCCAGCTCCCTGGAATACTATTTGTCAGTGGTCACTGGCAACTTCAATTCTTGTGATTACAGCTTCTTTACTTCATTAGGTCATGAAAATATGGTATAGTTCTTAACACGACTAGGAAATACCCTCGATTAAGTGTTTACAAATGACTTCGACATACTTGAGGCTGCGAAAAGAGCACCACTGCTTAATTCTGATCATTGAACCACACGTATATTGTCCGGAACATATGGAGAGCTTCAAAAAGTGGCCTTCTTGAATCTTGGTAAGAAGACTCAACTCAGATGTTACTTCCATGGCAACATAAAGAATCGAAGGAACACGTTAAATGATACAAACAGGGGCTTATTTACTGAACAAGTTATAGATGACAATCGCAAACGCAAAATGTTATCTCAAATTAAATCTTTATGTTTATTGTCCGAAAGATTTGAGCGCTTCTCCTCCTCTCTCTCCAAAAAGTTCCACCGAGGAAAAGAAAGGTCGAACAAAATGAAAGACAATCCTTGAGTGGGGAGGCTGAACATCTTAATCAAATCACGAATACGGAGATTAAATAGGACCTATAACCACAAGTTCTTTTCGTGCAAAACTTCATCAGATGTGTGGCAGCTGTTTAATGAAATCACTGAGGTGGGCAGATAAATAATGATCCTTCTAAATTTTATGCCGGTATTCGTCCAGCTGATGTCACGATTTAGAATGCAAATAATGACTGCTTCTTGGATTCTAACACAAATGATGCCCCCAAGTGTCTCGAATCTCCAAAACCTGAAGATTTTTCCAGTGCGTAGATCATCAAGTGGAGCAGTTGACAAGCTTATACCTATCTCCATCACTTCGCCACTTTTAAAAATAATCGGAAGACTGGTTTTACTTGATCTTGGACCTTCGTTGAAGGCCTTTAGTGACCCTAGTCGATTTGCTTGTACACACAGTAGGTGTACTTCAGACGCCACTGTCTCCCAATGTCATAATAGTTTCTTCTGGCTTAGATAAAGAGGCCAGGTATGTTTAGTGCGCCTTCCTGGATTACACATCTGCTTTTGACTCAGTATCTGAACCTCTTTTGTTAAACAAGCTTGCTGCATCACAAGCACAGTGGTGAATTACCAGGTGGTTGCCTTCCTATTTTTCTGATATGAGGCACTTCATTGCTTACAGTGGGAAGTCCTCCACTGCTTAACATACTCTGGTCGATATTCCTGAAGGAGCTATTCTCCCCCCTTTTCTGTTTTCCTTCTCCTTAGGTAACTTTCCCCATCCTGACGAAGTCAATTTCGTCAAGTATGCCGATGATCTGACTCTTTCTATGCCTACGGTTACTTCGCCGTCAAACTGTTTCAAAATATATACTTTTTATCAGAAATTAGTCGGTGGTCCTCGCCAAATGGTCTAAAGCTTAATCCCTGCAAATGTCGGAACGTTAATTTCACTTTCAGACGCAGGCGCGACTCATATGAACTGGTTTGTTCACACCGCCACACTACTATAGATGACAATTAGGTTAAAACCAAATCGAATGTTTAAATCCTTAGACCGCGCATGCCCTTTGATCTCTCCTGGTCTTCCCGCACCATGTTAGTTTCCAAAACGATTTGGTTCTACGTTCTGTGTAAGGGAGTTAAGGCGCTCTGGTATCATTCCATCTCTACTGTTGCAGTTTGTTAATTCTCTCATTCTGCCTACACTTCCTTTCTGCTCCCTTCCAATCGCTCCGGAGCTACTTAGGAAAGGCTTTGTTATACTGCGTGTGGGGGCCAAAAGCCATCAGTAGGACGAGTGCGACGTTGCTAAACCCACAAGCGGATGCGAATATTAGCCTTCAGTCTGTTGTACATGTTCACTGTGTCCGTAGAGGAGTAGTAATCTCATGCGTCAAAACAAAATATAGTGAAAACCTAAGGCACGTTCTAAGTGTATTGAGTTAACATGATATTAAGAAGGGAAGTTCGTCATTCGCAGCAGGTTATCTGATCTGTTGTAATGATACTGCACCGCACATTCTAGTTTTTAGGACTCAATTTAACGTACATACGTACAAACTGGTGCCAACAACATTTTTGTGCTCTCTGACTATGTGATGTACAGCTACATTCTCTGAGTTGGTTGTACAGCCTTTCACATTAGATAAGTTATTACACCGCTTTCCCAGAAGTATCTTGACTTATTATATCCAAATATACCGCTCAAAAGAGCACTCTGTGCATTGGTGGCACAGCGGTAGAATGCTCGCCAAACATGCATGTGGTCCGCGGTTCGATTCCCGGCCCACGCACTCCCTTACCTCGCCAAGCCAGCAACAAGACTGGTAGGGAGGAAAGGCTGTGTATGAGGCTAGCAACCCCATCCTGTAAAAATAATCACCACTGCTGCCGAAACCACAAGCCTCTAGCTTGAAGCCCTGTGTTCCCCTGGGAACGTAGAGGAATAAAAAGGGCGCATTGCTATTCATCAGTCTTGTTGATTTGGGTCTCGATGATAATGACAATGGTAATAATCTATTTCTGTAACAGAAACAAGCCATGTTTACATGCAAGAAAATATGTACACTAGTTATAACTGACAGAACATATAGTATGATTTATTTAAATTTCGACTGGACACTGATTTGCGTGAGAGAAACATTGGTAAAAGGACAAATAACTAAATAGATATTTTTGGAATCTGCTTTCGACTGAAAAAAGTTATAAGATATAGCGTTAAATCTGTATTTTAAGTGACAAAACACTTACTGACACTAGCTTGAACTCTTGCGCTAAAGGTGTTCAGTTTCTGCGTGAATCATTTTTCCTTAATATTTTGGAAATTAGCCGCTTTCCTCACATTATCCAGTTATCCATAGTCAACACGGATTGTATTGTATCAACTGGAACAACATATAGGATTCACTCGTGAAATCTACGTCAAGAATCTTCGGATACCCTATCTAACCTCGTGGAACTCAGGACTTTATCCACAGCAAACTCTGTAAAGGAAAGTCTGACTTTTTATTTTTGCAATATACATCTGTTTATCGTTGTTGTTTTGATACTTCGATAATACAGCTATCTTATTTTTATATCCTCAAGACTTTTTTTCCGGAAATTGTGAAGTCTCTTATTTCTGCAATGGTTAAGTCTATCAAACGTGTAAGTACCGTTAAAAGACTGAGATCTAATGCTAGTCAGCCATCTGAAGGCCTCAGCTCCGTTGACAATTCTACACTTTTTACACCCGCCACACCCAGAGTTATGGTATCTGATATCATGGAGGAATTGACAGAGAATGCGGCTTGTAGCAAAAATGATTTACTGACACTTCAGAAGTCAATAGCAGAACTACAGAGCAAGTGTGACAGCATTATGCCTCTCACGCAACTGTGTGACCCATCACAAAACATCTGTTTTGAATCACTAATCAAATCCGGGCGCATAATTGACTATTTGGCTGAAGAAGCTGTTAAGAGGATTATGTCTTCACATAACGTCTTGGCCTATAACATTCCAGACAGAGAGCCGATTGCCAAACTTAAGAATTCGTGTCTAAAGGCTTGTAATATGTCGTTGACAGAATGTCAGGTTTTGCGTCTTCGTAAGAAATCTGCAAACCACCCGTGTCCTGTGCTTTTCAAGTTTAGGTCTACTGAAGAAGCCAGGAATTTTCTAAAATCGGGTAAGACAGTAGGCTCTTCAACACCATACGCTAACATTAGGGTTGCACCTGATTTAACACCATGCCAAAGGCGATGCCGCTCAGGAACAGTGAACCCTGATAACTCTAATAGGATAACTGTAGATGATGTTCCGTCTATTGAAAAATCTGATCATGGCATGCAACAGACATTTTCGCAGGCACTGGCTAATGTTAGCCAAGCATTATACAACGATATTGATGCTGACACTGAAATGGTGGACATAGATGAGTCAACGGGAAATAATGTTGAAATACATCGTTTTCACACTGACGCAAAAGTCCAGACACCGAAACCATCAAAACCCATCCCACTGGTGGTCCAACCATTGCCTTATAAGTCAGTTACTCCTCAGTCTGACAATCCACACTCTGTGAAGCACCAGTCGAATGTAGCTACCCAAGTTGGCAAGTTTTCTAGGCGTTATGACAAACGTCCCATTTCCATTAAGAAAACTAAAGCTCATGAGGTGTCCAAGCCACAGAAA